AAAAAAAAAAAAAAAAAAAGGAGGCAGGAAAGCGCTCGGGCTTCACCTGACAGGGGACTGCCGCTCCTCTCCTGCAAGGTCCTCTCCAGCCCCCTCGTGCTGGGGCTCCCAGGGAGGCCCACAACCAGTTTCCAGACTCCTCACTCCTCCGGGGTTGACAATTTCCAGGCTGCTTGGACACAGTCTCGCCTCTCCTGGGAAGGACATGTGTGCTCCGGTTGACAGCCAGTGAGCCAGTCCTCCCAGCAGCTAACCTCCAGCAGCCGCTGCACTGCCTCCGCCACAGGGATCCTCCCGGTGGGTGTCAGGAGCAGTGACTCAGTGTCCCCCAGGCAGGAGGAGAGAGATGGCTCCCAAAGGGCAGCCTCTTCTATTATAATCCGGCCCTATTTCCTGGGCAATGGCTGCTGCTGTTTCTGTGTCCCCAGGCGAGCCAGCGCTCCTTCCCTGGCTCCCTGCGGGGCTGGCATTTTCCAGAAGACAGGGTGATAATGAAAGCCCAGAGCGGGAGCCTGAGGGCCTCCCCTCCCTGCTGAGAGCAGCCTTAGAGAGGTTGGCTTCCATCTTCTGGGCCCTGAGAAACGCTGCTCTTTGAGGTGCAGGAAGGGACTTTTGGAAGTGTCATCGGAGGGCCCTCCCTGCAGCCTGCAGCCTCACGGTCCACCCTCTCTGGGAGGGAATCTGTGCCCAGCAGCGCTGGCTTCACCCTTGACCTTGCTGGAGTGCGGCTGCAGGGGCTCTGGGGTCCTGATGACCCGGTCTCCCTAGTTAGTCTCAGCCAGGAGCCGAAGGGCTGCAAAGCACACTGGCCAGCGCCAGGGCGCTCCTGAGCGCACCGTGCCTCCTGTTTCCAAGCCCAGGGAGTCGGCTGCGCTGCCTGCCTGCCTTTCCGCTTCCTCTGAGGTCTCGAGGGGCAAGGTCCCAGGCGCTCCTCTTGCGCCCTGAAAAATGATAAATACATGGGCTGGCGTGGGCAGGTGGCCACGGGGCTGGGGCCTGAGGCTGATTCGAGCCTGAATCCTATGGTCCCCCGGGAGCATCCCATCAGGTCCCTGTGCAGACGATGCCCTAGGACCCAAGGTCTGGGGAGCCGGGTGGGGAGGGCAGCAAAGGCACAAGCAGGTGCCGCCCGCCTGTTCCCTGCCCCCCCCCCTTTCCCAAACCAAAATGAGCCTGCGAGACACCATGCAAGGGGCTGCCCTGCTCCAGTGTGGTTGTGAGGTCAGCCCATGGTGGGACCCAAGGACGCCTGGACCGGCTGGAGGACACCTGAGCAGACTGGGTGGTGGGGGTGCTGGCTCAGGAGGGGGTGGCCCCGGATATTAGCCTCTCTCATGGATGTCATGGGCCTTGCTCCTGAGAGGTGTCCAGTCCTCCCTGGGAGCTGGTTGTGATGCAGAGTCCCAGGCCCTGCTGGACCCCACCCCCTCTACCCCACCCCCAATCCAATTGGCCCTTCAACAGATCCCAGGTGACTTGGGCTCACATGAAAGGTGGAGAAGCCCTGCTGACCCTCTGTCCTTGTTATGAGGACACTGGTGCTGACTTTGGACAACTTGTTCTTTTTAAAATCTCCGGGGCGCTGTGAACTTGAAACGGATCTTGTTTCTCTCTTTGCTGAGGAAAGCAGGTTTGGTGCAACTGAAGCGCTGGTTTTGCTGGGCTCCTCTGTGCACAGTGCCATCTCAGAGAGCAGACAAGAGCTAAGTTATTAGTCAGTTAATGTTTTGCAGTGTTGAGCCTGGAACCCGTGGCCATGGGCACATTAGGCAAAGGCGCAACCATTGACCTGCACCACAGCCCCAGGGGCTCGTGTAAATGGAGGGTTCATAGGTGAATCTGGGGTGTCCCAATGCCTGAAAAGACCAGAGACGAATG